ATAAAGTCGATTTTTTTTTGAATATATTTAGTAGTTTGTTATTGGGAATTTTATTGTTATTTAATTCAAATTTTGCATTTTTGAACAACTAGAATTATTTATTTACGAGTGATGCTGATACTACGAAATATATCTGCTGATACTACCACAGCACTAACATATATTGTTATTTCCTGAGCGCTATTTTTTATTTTATTTTTATTGCTTAGATCGGTGGACGAGCTCATAGCCCACCTGGTGTTAAGTGGTTACTGGAGCCCATAGACATCTACAACGTAAATGCGCCACCCACCTTAAGGTATAAGTTTTAAGGCCTCAGTATAGTTACAACGGCTACCCCACCCTTCAAACCGAAACGCATTACTGCTTCACGGCAGAAATAGGCGGGGTGGTGGTACCTACCCGTGCGGACTCACAAGAGGTCATACCACCAGTGATTACGCAAATTATAATTTTGCGGGTTTCATTTTTATTACACGATGTTATTCCTTCACCGCGGAATTCAATCGTGAACATTTGTTGAGTACGTATTTCATTAGAAAAATTGGTACCCGCCTGTCGGATTCGAACATCGGTGCATCGCTACATACGAATGTACCGGACGTCTTATCCTTTAGGCCACGACGACTTCAAAGTGTTTTCTTTTATCGTAGATTGTCGCGTGTGTGCAGCGGCGGCAGCGGCGGCGGCTGCAACGGCGGCTGCAACAGCGGCTGCAGCGGCTGCCTCGACGCAATGGACACCGGCTCACGTACCGGATGTCGCGAAGGCCCTCCCCGTTCCTGTTGCTCTCACTAATGGGACTGCTAATAGTAGTCCCTCAGAATATAATGGAACCATTGAATACAATTGTAAGTACTTGAGAATGTAGCAATTCTTAATTCACATTCACCCCTACATCTACAGCAATGTCAGCCCAAAAACAACGATGCAGGGTACTCAGTTTCATCAGGTCGAAAACCAGTGACAACTGTTACGAGTTTTATTATTCCATTTTAATATATTAAGTTATATACATAAATGAAGGTAGAAGAATGAGATTTCACAATTTATTTAAAGTTCTTGTCGATAAAAAAGCGTCACCTTAATTCCCTATTTATCGTATCCACATCTTTCGAGCATATGTATTATTTTCAAACTTTAACAGTGATTGTAACGTATGTTGAAATTTTAATTAATTGAAAGAAAATTTCATTGAAGGTTATTATTGTTTTAGACTTTTTCATTTCACCCAGCACAAAACTACTGAATGATTTGAATTTAATGCTACAACTTTAAGTGGGTATTTCGGAACTAAGAAACTTAATGAACATGTTTCGTATTTGTTGTATGCAGTCACAGACATAGCCCGGTGAGTTTCTCGCCGGATCTTCTCAGTGGGTCGCGTTTTGGTTCCGGTGGTAGATTCTACGAAGCACTGCTCTTGCTAGGGCCAGTGTTGGCAACACTCCGGTTTGAGCCCCGAGAGCTACACGCTAGGGCAACGCTGATATAGCTTCTCAAGGCTATCGGCATAGGTAGGAAAAAATATATTAAGCCCTAAAGCCAACTTCAACTATAATCCATAATCGAACTGGATGTTTGAGACAAGACGATGTAACCATAATAAACTACGAAATTCGTACTTTCCAATAAGAGAAAGAAGTTTTTATTCCCATTAAATAACTATTTTTAAATTTTAATTAATTAGTAATATCCCGTTAAAACATCATTGAAACTGAAAAATTCAAACGTTGTTACTTATTATATTATTGGTCAGTGGCTTTGTAATGCGTTGACGATAAGCTGGCTTGTAATGTTGCTCTATTCGTATGAGTGCAATACTTTTCGTTTCTGAATGTTTTTTTGGTTTACTTACTTTATGGCTACGGAACTTGTTTTACTTTCTTTATTCTACACGTTTTAAATTATAATCTGGTCTTTATTTGCACATCTCTTATAAGTTGCAATTCAATAGCATGGTTCTTAGTAGAAAAATTGTTTTAGTAGATAATATACCTAATTATATTTCAAAACGTAACTTTTCCAAGTTTTATTTTTCAAAGCTCGCGTAATGTAAAATATTCACCATGAAGCTAAAATACCTACTTTGTACGGGGGCTACAATGGGAAACACCCCTTGAAGGGAACGCCTCTATTGAAAATACAATAGTCATCATGTTTCGAGGGTTGAAAGTTTGAAGCTCGTCGATACTGTACTTTGGGATTGTAGTTTTTAAGTTTTTCAGCAGATGGCGCTTATTTTAGAACTTTATTATTTTTCGACATTATTGCCATCTATGGGATTACATTAAAACTTTCACTTATTTCTGTTCTTGTCTTGTTGGAATGTTACTATTTTGATAATAGTTAGTTAAATAGCACTCGGGTAGATGTCACTATCTTAAAATTAAAAAGAACGAATTTTGAACAAACTTATAGATTTGTTTGTATTGTTTTTTTTACTTTCTAATCTAATCGTTCAAGATTTTTGTGTTGATGGAAAAATGGAATTGCTACTAAAGAATCAATATAATCATTGTCTTTCAAAGTTAATTCCAGCTTAAATTTGAAAATATATTTCTTAATAGCCCTGTAACATCAAAATAAGCGTAAACACAAAAGCGGTAAATCCCAGCACAGAGATAAGCCTTCAGGGTTAAGATGCTAAAGTTGCAAAAAAAATATCGTTGAATCGTTGGGACAAGTGTATAGTAAGCCCCTGAACTGGGTGCAGTTTTTTCTCTGCATCCATACTTTTCTCGTGTAAAACGGAGTACCTCGGATTGAGCCGCATTTCAAATTGACAGCTGTACTTCAGCTTCAAGCTCACTTTAAGAACGTACAATGTACTCTACCGGATGTGAGATATTCTTGAATCTATATGAAGAAAATCAATAGCCACAAGTATGATGGAGCATCACTTCGGATTGTGTCGATCGATTTTCCTGATTTCTTATTTCTCGTTTGTAATTGACAGGTAAAGGTTCGTACCAAAAACATTTGAGTTTGGAAAACCTACGAGGGATTGTCGCTATTTCTCGCGCAATTAGCGACGGTCCCAGTCGAACGTACCCAGGCTACACTAATATGTCATATCATAAGTATTGTAGTAATTTATGATTTCTTCTCTTCTTTTAACAAATGCTTGAAATGTAAATATATTATTATTATAATACGATTGTGATGTTTCAATTTATACATAGCTAAATATGTAGTTACAGCTCCATAGCCCATTATATCACTTCAAATTTTAGATATCTACTAGANCCCAGTCGAACGTACCCAGGCTACACTAATATGTCATATCATAAGTATTGTAGTAATTTATGATTTCTTCTCTTCTTTTAACAAATGCTTGAAATGTAAATATATTATTATTATAATACGATTGTGATGTTTCAATTTATACATAGCTAAATATGTAGTTACAGCTCCATAGCCCATTATATCACTTCAAATTTTAGATATCTACTAGATCACTCAGTGCAAAAACACATTTAAATGGTCCGAAAATTATTTGGATCGGGACAAAGTGAAAATGTCATAATTGCCAGCCAACCGATCTACGACATTAGCTTCTATTGTGACGAATAACTGAAATTTTTATTGAATTAAATTCACAATAGCTATAATCAAGCCAATTTGAATTTTGTAAATCATAGATATAATATGAGAAACGTTAACTAGCTGGTCCTTGGGGCGAGAAGATGAGAGAAAGTTTACACATGTATACTACATAGTATCGGGGGCATTTGAGTTATTGTGAAAACTCGTCCTTTTTGTGAATATTCTATTGTCGTAGTATGAGTTATTATACAATCATGCTTGTGTTAGACCTCTAACAATAGAAGTCGATGGTCAGCTCGTCACTAACTGACATCTCGGAAGGGGAGTACTTTAATGTTGGGACGACATTAATAGTCTCAATTCGAGATCGTTCAAAAATGAAATACATATAAACAAATATAATGTATATCACAACATAATATATACATACGTAATTTATACCATATACGTTGATTAAACAAATATCGGTTCTTTTGATAGAAAAAGAAAACTTATTTCAAGGTAAAATTATTTACAACACAAATTCGTATCTGAATAACTGACTTCTTTCATAATTTCAAATAATAGAATGCGACATTTCACTACAAGAATACTATTCAATTATATTAAATAGTGGTACATTTTTTTCTTTAGGTAATATTAGTTTTATATTCGATATTACGTGTTGTTTTTAAACAATATACCAAACTGCGCAATACTAAAACGACCTACACATAAATATATATACACTTCAAGGAAATGTGTGTGTATGGTTCTTGGTATAATTTAAACATATCATGGTAAGTTAAAAAAAATGTATCGTATCTTTTATTACGATGAATCAGATTTTACGCAAGCCTACATTTTTTTCGGGTCTGTCAATGGTGGTTCCAAAAAAAAAAATATTCAACACGAAACCAAATTAAAATTTCAGATCTTTCAATATTAACCAGGTACCTATTTTACTTGTAGCAATTTCAAGTAAATAATTAATTTAATTGGTTGTTACTATTCAATAGTAACTATAAACATATATCGAGACAAATAAAAACAAAAACATTTCCAGATCAGATAAACATAAAAAACAAAAGAGGTTTGAAGTTGGACATCTTCGGTAGAGGTCTGCGCGGTGCTATGCGGCTTCTATTGAGAATATTTTTTGTGAGGTTTGGATATTGTTGGTTGTTTGTAGGCAGTGTGTGGTAGGTAGGTAGTCGGTTGGTGCCGTTCACCCTGTGGCGTGCCCGTTTCTGTTGAAATCGGCTAGGAACGAACGAATACCACGCCGCGTTAACAACAAGTGACACATTTCGGGTTGGGGTAAAGCGACTGGCGCTTTCGGGCGGTGCACACGTTCCGTTAACTTCTCTATTTTAAAAACTACTAAGACTTGCTCGACGATATCCGGGAAGGGACGACCGCATCACCGCGGCGTCGACTCTACACCACTGTCACTCATTTTTGATGCAGTCGACCTGCGTACGCGTCGGAAGTCGCTTCGCGCGCGCGCGCGTTCGCTCTCATGCATCCTAAAAATTTATTTGCTTGATTAATGTTTTTTTAAATATTTATATTTTTAACGATCGATCAATCCGTTAACGAAGTGCCTTTTATTCATGCAGAGGATGTATTATACGAAGCGGTGATATTTGTGGTGCCTGTTAAAAAAATTTCAGTTACAATGAGCGGGAGGGAAGGCGGAAATGCAGTTCCCTCTTCCAGTAAGTAATAACGATTGAAATATTAATCTAAAATTTATTTTATTCACTAAATTTAGAAATATAAAAAAAAATAGGTGTGTTATCGAACGTTAAAGTAGTGGCTGAAGCAATTCAGTTTATTGGAACTTTTAGTGCGGCCCTTATCGAGCGGATGTACTGTATACGCTGTACCCGGGAAGGCAATCATAAACAGTTGTTTATAACACCATTGAATTTATTCAAATTGAGGTTAATAGAGTCTCGTTCCACTGATGTCGCACATATGTGTACCATGTTTACTTGGTATAACGTTGATCAACAACAAGATACACTAATTATAAATATCTACGTACTTCCCAATTAGAGAATGTCTTATATGACATGACGTCATGCTTTACCTACGCAGTATTTTAACATTTTTAATATTCTGTTTTAATGATTAAAAGATTAATTTGAAAACGAACTTATTTCCTTGGCTTGGTTGACTTAAGTATGAACAAATTCACATGTCAATTTGGCTCTTTCGTAGTGTACTTGTGGCCCTACTAGCTTAAGTATGTCAAGTATTGAATTGAAAACATGTGACGTGAATGTTTTATCAAACACGGTCTATGCATCTAGCAGTTAATTGTTTACTATTCCTACGATACCGCTTTAGTAGCTGGTATGCATGTTGTTCGAATGCAATGTTACACTAATGCTATTTTATACTTTATGAAGTTGTGCTAAGATGCATATTTCAATGGGATTTTTATTCTACGCAATGTGAGTGATAAAGCTCTGGTATGTTTGGGTAAACTGCGTACGTTTTGAGAGGATCTTAATTTTACGTTTGTTGCTTTATATTACTTAATGCCAAATAAATAAATTCATATGGGGTAGATTTAAGCTAATTAGAAAGTTCATTGCCATATATTTTTTTTTCGCTTAGTAAATGTATTGTTTACTTTAAAAGAATTGTATAATTACTTGAAATCTGTTTCTAGAATAATTTATTACACATCATTGGAGAATTTTGTTAAATAATTACCAAGTTAGAGTTGAATACTGTATCAGAGTTATAGGGCAGTGACTATTGAAATACAATTCGGAATTTTTAGAAAGTCGATGCTAAGTAACGTGACGTCCCTACAGCAGGGTCCGAGTTCGTAACCAGTCAATTAAATCTGAATGGTGGTACGTTCATCCGTCTCTTTCACTCTCAGTTCAAGATCCCGAAGCGTAAGCGCCACTTGACGATGATTCACGTTCAAATTCCATACTTACGATTGATAACAGCAAAAAAAAAAATAGTGAATGGCAGAGCGTTTTAGGTCATTACATTAGTTTGCTGGACATGCATCTCAGATTCTTATACGGTATGTGGTTTGTTTACTAAACAGAACGCTTTACAAATAACTTCAAAACATATCGTAGTGTGCGCTGTCCTTCATACTCATTTGTCAAACTAGTATTTTCGAAAAATGTTTTTTAAATACCACTCCATCTAGCGATGCCTAATTTGGTAACGAAAGAACAATCATTATAGAAAGGATAAAAAAAATACTAGTCACTTACTGAATTACTATTAAAAATTACTATGTTTAGTAGATTCCAAAAATCATTGGCAAAGATAAATATAATCTTGCATATATTTTTTTGTTTAGAATACGTACCTATATGCGTTTATTTTGAAAAAGCCACACCCACTCTGTCACTACGAAACTCACGCATTGTCGTGTTCTCAAACATTTGATACGAATCATCGACCCGCATCGAGCTTACGGCATCTACGTCGGGTACAACAAGGTAATACTAGGAAATTATATTCACATGCATTGGATGGCGGCTGTCACGTGGGTCGATGACACCAGGCCAGCTCGGAGCCAATGTAGGAAAAGGTGGCGAGGCAGGTGCTCATCGAAAGAACAATTTCAAAGGGAACTTGTAGATTAAATGATAATGATTCGCTTTGATGTTTTTAAAGGTACCGAAATAATTTAACATTTCCAATACCGGACGTAGGGCAATGCATGCTAATGTTAGTTAAAGCTGGAAACATAAACAGATGCAATCTATCTAGGCGAAGAAGACTTTCATTAATAATTTGATTTATATTTCTAAGCAGTTTATTTACACAATACATATAATAAATGACATGACAAATTTTCAGTAAAAGAAAGTATTTACCTATAACATTATTTTCATAATTTTGTATAGATAAAGCTTTGATGAGAAAGTAATGTTTTGATTTTGTTGAAATCACGAAGAATTTATGAAGCAGCTTAGAGTGGGGCGTAGGGGAGAGAGAGCGCTCTTACCGAAGAACGCTTAGAATTTCCCCTTCCTGCTTTTAAAATAACATGAGCCTAAATTAAGATTCAATTTAAAAATAGCACGCCTAATCGCTTTAGGAAATAACAATAAAACAGAAATGTCACGTTTTCTGGCGTAAGACAGTTGTTATGTATGGCTGTGTCTCGGCGTTAACATTTTCCGTGTTATTTATATAGTTTACGTAAATAAAATTAATTATGATAATCTATCGTTGCATAATATCTTTTCTCGGGCTCATAAAAACGTTTGTTGACGCGTAAAAAGACGAAAACGGAATGATGTAAAATAGGAGAGTAGCGGTGTATGCAGGAATGTGCGTAGTGGAGTATCGTGGCGGCAGTGGGGCGGGCGGTCGCTCACGCGCATGCTGAGTAAACAAAACCACAAAACAGGCACATCGCACATACATACATGCACGACTCGGATGCGTCCAGAGTGCTGCCTCCTTACCTCGTATGAACATCCACGCATACATGCTACCGTCTGCTCGCATTATTGCTACAGATTAAAATAAACTGCTTGCACAAGCGTTACGACATACCTTTATTAAACACTAACCGATAGTTCGAGGCGGCTGTGGAAACAAAACCGATTCCATAAAGTGATGAACTTAATTATATCTGACAGTATTTTTACCTTACGAAAGGGTATTCGTAAAGACTCAATGAAATCAATGTAAAAACGCTTTGCATTTTCACTATAACTTGAATGAACACCTTTAAACTTAAACACGTGCAAACTTACCCGTGGAACTTTCTTTTTACAGTGAAAATTTCTAGGGCTACATTCCTTTCCGACTAATTTGACGGCTCGGCCACACCTGAGTTTTAGAAGTGAAAATATGTCATCTCACACAATTAATGAGAGAATGTAGTCGAAACGAAACAGTCGGAATGTTTAATACAAATAGAGTTCAACCGCGTTTATTGTGTCAATGCGAGTGCTTGATAACAGGACAACTACTAACACTCCGTAGGTACCTAGTCTTGTAACAGTTTATTAAAATTGTTGATTGTTCATGTTTGTTTTGTACTTTTTTATTTATTTAGAATTTGTGTATGTTTTTACATGTGTTTGTCTGATGTACCTAGTTCTTCAATAATTTCAATTACATAAAGCTTTTCGGGACTGTTTTTTTAATATTTGACGTCCACACTTATTCAATTAAAGTTATTTCGTATTTTTAATGTAAAACTGATATATACAAAATGTCAATGAAACTATGTAATAGGTTAGAGAAAAAGTCTTTTTGCATTATAATATCTGTATCTGGCTTCATGTCCCTACTTTATGTCCCTTCTACCACCTACAAGATAGCAAAAAGCTATCGAACAAAATGGTACTTACATAGTTTAGTTAAATGTAAATAAATTATATTAAAAAAATGTTGTGAATTTTGTTAAAAAATGCGAAGAAACTTTTCTCCAACATATGTATGTACCCATCGAACTGAGTCGAGAAGTTAAAGAAGTAACTCCGCCACGAGGCCGAGGTGCAGTGTTACGGCAATGAATGAAAAAGGTACCCGAAACGCAACCTAAATACCGAACATTCTTCCAGTCCCCGCCGTCGCCACGTGTGCCTGCTAGCTCGCTTTTACCGCTGCCGCCCGAAATAATATGCTTAGCTACATACCAACACATGGAAATGTACATGGAATTAGCGAGCCCACTCTAACCTACCTACCTACTATTGTGTTTTTGGAAATGCATCTTAGTAATAATAAATTTTAATAAAATACATGTCTATTTTATTATTTTAAGAAGTGACTTAGAAAAACTTTATTTATTACATGAATACTTATTAAAAAAACAAATTTCTTTTGTGAAAGATCGTCGAAATAAATCCATGTAATTTTATTACTTTAGTGTAAATGAATGTATCAGTATAATTTAGTACTTATATGTTTTCTCGTGTCGTAGATTAGAAGATTTAATGTCGCATTTGTTATTTTCAATTTACAATTTCCGTAGTATCGAACAACTTATTTAGTTTTGATGATGCTTACAAAAAAAAATATCAATTAATTAGTTTTTTTTTATTGCTTAGATGGGTAGACGAGCTCACGGCCCAACTGGTGTTAAGTGGTGACTAGAGCCCATAGACATCTACAACGTAAATGCGCCACCCACCTTGAGATATAAGTTCTAAGGTCTCAAGTATAGTATTGTGTACTTTGAAATTTTGAGTTAAATTGTGTAACGAATTTGCTGTTTGCAAAAATAGCTTTTAAGCGGATAGGTGTGTAGTTTTTTTTTGATTGTTTTATTCACGGGTTTTCGACTATACATACTTCTTTATGGAAATCTCATCTTCAAATAGTCGCTTAACTAAAAGTAAAAAAAAGAACATCGAACATTAAGCCCTTGTTTAAAATTCGTTTTTCGTTGAAGTTGTAAATGCAAGTATTTATTGTTTTGACGCGTAAAGAATAATGTTGATCTAATAAACATATTTCAACTTAGGGAAGTCGCTCGGATGCGCAGGTGCGCACGTGAAGGGTATCTAACGACCCATAAAAAACTGAAAAAAAGGCATATTCGTGATCACGAACAGTTGATTGTGTCCAAATACTATCGAGTAGTACTCATCGACCATTCATCTTGACTATTTCCGATATATCCGGAAATAGTATTTACATGTCACCACATTAGTCATATTGTTTTTCTTAGCGGTTCGTTAGTCATCGCAATGATTCAAGTCCGATAGGTTTTGATATGAGCCTTCAATGAATTATTCACGTTTACATATAATTTAAAGATGAAACTTAATATGTTTAAATTACATTCAGGTTTAATAGCTACGGTAGTATAAAAAGAATTGCTTTTATTTCATTTCGTTCCCACGTTATTTTTTGTAGCAGCGCGATAAGGGGAATAGCATACCCTTTCTTAGTCCAATAAACGATCGTGGGCTTTTATTTATTGCTAATAGATTTTCGAACGTTTGAATGTCTGTGCATGCATTAGAAAGTAGGGAATGCCACTCGCTTAATGCACTTGAACTATTATTGAATTAATTTTGTTTTACGCAGGAATCTTGTCGTATTTTTTTCATTCGGTGACGATTATAATTACTTTACAAATTTATAACGTTAAAGATTTTATAGATAATGAAGTTAGTTTAGTAGTTTTTATTTATGTAATTGTATATAGAATAGAAACATTTTGATGAAAAATAAACAATTGTCATTTTAAACGTTTACATTTTAAGTAAGTATCTACATTTTGGTACTAATTGATGCTCTTGATGTGTTTGGTGATAATGTGGTATAAAGAATGAAGTTTTAATGAAGCTTGTGCGTGCAACGTAGTCGAGCCGTTGGTCAAAGTTAGTTATTCAAAGGTAACGTATTTATTGCAGGTGTCGAGGGCGCAAGCGGCAGCGGCAGCGGCGTGACAGGGGTGAAGCGGCGCGGGCGATGCAAGTGGTTCAACGTGGCGAAGGGATGGGGGTTCATTACCCCCGACGACGGCGGCCAAGATGTTTTCGTTCACCAGGTGAATATTTTTGGGAGCTTATTAACTCGTACGTTATAATTGTAAATATTGTTCCAGTTAGAAAATTTATTGAGACAGTAGACACACATTTTAAACGAGAAACGAAACTTATCTGAATTTAAATTACAGTTACGACATTTCAAATGTCGTTCCCTAGTGAACTCTACAATAGTTAAAGTGGATAGATAAATCCATTCACGAAATATTGTGGCGTATCTAGCGGTTGACCCGATAGTGTGCTTATTTGTTTGTTCGGCTTATCAAGGCCGGATGTTTTTTCTATACATTTGCGCCACCACACTGGTACTTCGTTCGGTTGCAGCGACACTAGCGGTAAAATTTATATTAGGTCAAGACTACGTTACTGGATATGCGATAGCGTAGATTTTTTTTCCGACTAAAGATAAGGAGCTCTTTTATGTATATGAAGGGATACGGCCTCGAAAATATAAATTGAATCGATAGTTTGGTGCTTAGTCAAATACGGATGAAGTAAACAGGGATATTCGATCCCTGTTGTCTCCTTTTAACCGTTATCCATTTTTACGCTAGCACGCTTTCTCAAGAAAATTGTTTAATTTGATTTTACTCACATAAAATAGTAATATTAGAATTACGAGTACAATAATTAATCTTCGTTGCCTAAACAATAAGACGGCGAATGAGAATGAAGAAGGTAAAATGTCGTGTAAATTTGATTTTTAATCAAACTCCCAAAGAATATAATTTGTCTAAGTGACCAGTGCTAATTGGACTAGTGGTCCATCCGAGTTCAGATTTTCCCACATATGTTTTTTTTTTTATATCAATACGGTATTTCCCGCTACAAAACAATACAAAGATAGTTTTTTTTTATTGCTTAGATGGGTGGACGAGCTCACAGCCCACCTGGTCTAAATGGTTACTGGAGCCCATAGACATCCACAACGTAAATGCGCCACCCACCTTGAGAATAAGTTCTAAGGTCTCAAGTATAGTTTCAATAAATAACTTATCTTATACTTTCAGAGTGTGCTACAAATGCCAGGGTTCAGGTCTCTTGGTGATGAGGAAGTAGAGTTTGAGTGCAAGGAGTCAGATAAGGGCCTGGAAGCGACACGTGTTACAGGTCCCAATGGAACCGATTGTCATGGTTCCGATCGACGACCCTTGTCTAAGATCAGATTCAGGAAGATACGGTAATTACGTTGAAATTCTTTATTATATAGGAAAAAAAAAAAGATCGATATTTGATTAAATATTGCCAACCAAATTAACAGTAGAAAATAAATTAGACTTGCATTATATTGACATCTTAGATAATTGTAACTATAATGACAAGTAACTACAGCAATAATTAAATGAAAGGAAGCTTTATCGGATCCTTTATCAGTTTATCGTACAACCAGCTTTTTAAAATAAAAAAAAATTGTAACTGTGACCACAAATTCTTATTTTTTTATTATTTCATATTAGAAGAATCAGTAGGATCTTTGTAAGATGAGAAAATTGCCTTAATTATCCGTAATTTTTAGATTTTAGGTTTAAAAACTTCGGCATAACCAAAATTTATTTCTTGAATTAAAAATATATGTAAAATAGGCCTAGTTTTCGAAATGTTGCCTCTTTTTATATCTGTTTTTTAGTTCTACCTTCAGTGGCCCTTTAAGTGCTGAACCCTTGAAAGTCAAGCGAGGAAACCACAATAATAAAATACCTTTTTAAAAAAATTCTAACTTCCTCTTAAGTGGCTGTATCGATTGATACTGTCACATTGTGCCACGAGCGTTTGTCATAAATTAAAAGTATGAGAATTTGTATTTGATATTGTATTTAATATCTCATTTAGATTATCCGTGAACAATTAGGTTAATAACTAGCCGAATAAATCATGCATGAATGCGACCGCGTAAAGACCTAACGAAGTAACGTGAGGCAACTGAACAACGATGAATATGTAAAGACTGCGCTAGAATACAAACCAATACTCTTGTGATACGGGTCAAAAAACCGACACCATACAGCGGCTTGGCTCTGCTCCTGGCATTGCTGAAGTCCATGGACGACAGTAACCACTCACCAATGAAAATAAAAAAAAGAGAACAAACTAGTGCCAAGTACTGAATACACGCGAATAAGCTGTCCACGGTCTTGTATTCACCGATTCCTCTTTACTCTACAAATGAGGCATTAATTATGATATAGCAATGCAAAAAGTTTCTATTTATATTTATTTTTTTACACGTAAGTTGCATATCACGTTGAAGAGGAAGGGAGGTTGTAGCGGAAACGAAACTCGTGTATGCAAATGATTAACTAAATGTTAAATGAATATGACTCGAAACTATTTCTCATAAATTAGAATTGATTAGAAAAATACCATGAAATATTTAATCATCATTGTGAGGCGTTTGGTTTACTATAAAAAAATAAGTCGTAGGAAGCCATGTCATCATAGTAGAACAAAGGTTATCGCTTGAACTAGGCGCAGGAAACGTAATTATAGGAATAATATTAACATTAACTTTTATATTCGTACCCTCTAACAAATTTTTTAATTGTTTACGTAAAGTTAATTTGAAAGATAAAGTATAGAAATTAAGTGCTGTTATGTCACGTAGGAGATTGAAAGGTTGATTGAATTTGTGAAAAAGGATATGTCTATAAAATTTTCAAGTATCCGGTACTCCCTCATTTGAGGGTAGTCTCCAGAGATTGGATATAAATTGTGCCGACCTAATCAATTAGAAAGCAGCAGAAAGTAAAAGATCAGTAACAAATAACATTATAATTTGCAGTTGCTACAACTGTGGGGAGTTCGCTAATCACATAGCGGCAAAGTGTAGCATTGGGCCACAACCAAAGAGATGTCACAACTGCAAAAGTGAAGACCACCTCGTTGCTGACTGCCCGATAAAGGTGAGTAAATGTATATTCAATGAATTTAACAGTAATGGAAAACACTAACGTAAATGATAACTAATTAATCTGAAGGTTGATTCAGTAGTCTCTGATTCCTTTTTTCAACTAGGTAGTCGATAATTTAAATTATTTAAGTTTTATATACTAACAAAAAAGTATAAGAAAATTAATACATCGCTATTAAGCTGATTGGGTTAGGTTTAATTTAGTACATATATAGTTATTAGGAAAATTATCAAAACTATCAAATGGAAATAATAATAAAATCGTATTATAATTATTTGTATATATGCTTTTTTGCATTTCAAAACTATTAACAGTGGCCGTTAATTTTCCCTAATGAACCAAAGGTTTCCAGCGGAAATCGGTACTATCACCATGTCTGAATGGTATCGGGAATTACTAAGACCACATTTATTTGCAACGGTCGCTGCATATGTACGTCAAATTTGTCCATCGTACATTGACTAGACTCCTGCCTTAAAGTACCAAATAGAGAAATAAGAAGTACAAAATCGAATAAATAATGCACGAACGCGGATAAACAACATCAAACTTTACATAGATTACAGTTTTGATAAATATTATACACGAGGCAAAAAACATAAATTACTAAATAAAAAAATTTCTAATTAATTTCTAACTATCCATATTGTATTTTGTTTCGTTAGTAAATTATAATTTACACTTTGTAATTCCTAAAATGGAGCGTATTATATTTTGTTATGTTGCAAGGTCGAAAAGAAAAAGGATGAACAACAAATGGCTCCGGGCAGCTCCCAAGGAGGAAGCCCACAACAACAAGCGTAACTTTCTGAAATTTCGAAGCACCACCACCTATACGCAAAGACGCAAATACTTACAAATTAGCTTTATGAGCGGCATTTATGTTATAGAATTTTTGTTGAATAATTTGAGAACTAAATTACACTAAATTTCATATCTACTTTTATTGTCTACAAACACAAATTCATCATAAATATCTATCTGCTCTAGTCTGAGATAAACAAATAAAACAATATTGAATTGTTATCTGAAATTTATGCTACGAACAGAATCACACAGCAGAATTTTACTAGAGTTAGATTACAAAAACAATAACTGCTCAGTGGATTTGTGATGAATTTGTGTTTAAATATTACGCGATCACTGTATATTGGTTTAAATTTTGTTAAACATTCAGTCTCAAATTATATTTTTTGTGCAATCTCCGAACTCACCTACCTCATTCTGCTTTCAGTGCTAAATATGACAAAACAGAAGACTGATCAGTACAAATCCATAGTATAGAACAAGTTTAACTACTTATTATACCTACCTAATAATTTTAATGTTAGTAGCATTATGAGCTAAGTTTGCAAAAATGTAACGTTAAAGTACAAATCTTATGTGTTCGAGTGTGAATGTCTTAATTATTTTACATATATTTGGTATATACCCAAAGTTAAGTGTGTGTTTATATTATCGTTGTTGCCACATTCTATTTTAATAAACTTTATGTAATGTTTTAGTTTATAATCATAGTTTAGTGAAAAGTATTAAAGCTGGCTATGATGGAAAAGGAGAAGCTTAAATATTTCAAGCAATGGATGCCATTTATAACGATTGCCAACCGATATATCCGTTTTGAAGGTTCTTGTAAACAGTGTGCGTACACATGAAACTAACCAACATTCTTTGGATACTGTGGATGTTTCAATTCATTGTGTTATCACAATTTTTGTGTGTTAATGTGCCAAAGTAAAATCAATGTTGATGCAATACTACTAAAGTATATTTATGTAAATTTGTTTAAGTCTAGTTCAAAAAAACGTCATAAATTTAGAATATTGACTTGCCGCCTTAAGCATCATGTTCGAATACTTTTACAAATAGTTTTAAGTCTTGCTTAATCGAGATGAATCTTCGTTTTATTACCAGTGCACAGTAACTTCCAATTGCTCAAAGCTTTATCATAAGTGTTTCGATCGAGTAGGTACTTACGACCTACAGTGAAAGGTTTGAAACTCACCTTATTATATTTGAAACTTACCTAAGTTTAGTGTTCAGCATACTCTTATAAATTCAAAATTATAATGGGTGCAAGATTATCCAAAGATATCATCGTGCATACAAATTCTGTCTCGAAATTTGATACATTTAGAACAGGTTTGATACATTTAGAAAAGAGGATTAAATAATACATTTTAAAACGATAGAAAGATTTTACCTTTAAGTTATTGCTTACTAAATATTTGGAGACTGAGCAAGCGCTTATTTTGTTTTTCTTTTTAATTTTAATTTAAAAATGTTAAATATAAGTTTTCGTCTAGAACCATTTACGTAATACTTAGGTATGTACACCATATCAATGTTAAAAATGTCGGTTTTAATATTATCCCTCACCGTTTTTTACGCATAATATTATTATAGTAGTTTATACCAGAATTGAATCACATGTTAAGGTACATGTTAGTGTTAATCTACCTCAAATAGCGTTAATCTTACGTAGACATTTAAGTTAAGAATATTATCGTGTTCGTAACAAATAGATGTTAAACTTACCACCGATAAGCCCTCGTAGCTTCATTAGTAGCCATGTAAGTAATCCAGCCCACTGTTTTTGTGCTATAAAGATAGGATGCAATAGCTAATATTCACTAATGCCTCGCGGTTTCATCAGCTTTGAATTCGTTATTGTAAAATAGTGGAACATTGTCCATTTTCCCATAGTAAAAAAATTATCTTGTGTCATATAGTTCAAAAGTATCTCTTTGTGAAAAATCATGTCCATTCATAATTGCGTGGCTGAGTGAAAGAAAGACGTACAAACAACATTTTAACATGGACTAACTATATTGTTGTAGTTACAAAAGTTGCAATCGGGAGTTTCCAGTCATTTGATCATGAAATCACGTAATACAAATTTAATACAAGATTCAGTTAATTTGTCTATGTATTCTTTAACAATAGTTTTTCATTTTTAAATATTAAATCATGAGGTTTCTGTACAACAATAAAATGTTCATCGAGCAACGACGGAATGTTTCTTCATAAAATTTAAGAATCCCATAATAAAAAGGCAGTTTCGTAATACTTTAACATAATATTTTAGATTTAAAACTTTACGGGTCTTTATGTTCATTTTATACGTAGTTATGTAATTTTATGTAATATTTAAGAGAAAGACTATATGAAAACATCTACCTCAAACTTTATGTGGTTAAATTTAGAATTAATCGATAAGTAAATTTACATTATAGATTTTTAGCAATTATATTTCCATCTTTACTGAAGGACGAATTTCATACATTTCTTAGAGTTTAAATTTTGTTTTCCTTTTATTAATCAAAGAAAATACACAATAAACTAAAAATGTTTTTCTTTTCATAACCTTTTTTCCTTTAGGTCTAATATTTAATAGTAACTACGGAATTCTGGAATTCCAATGCAATGACGAGATAGACAGATATTTCATATTTCATTTTCATCAATATATTTCTCTTGCTTAGAGGTAAAAGTCAGACACGCACTCTATTCTGGATGTGGATCGACAATGGAGGTAAGGTTTATCGCGATAGGCATCTCTTTCCGCCACTTTTCCTTACAGGACGAACGTCAAGCCTCNTAATAGTAACTACGGAATTCTGGAATTCCAATGCAATGACGAGATAGACAGATATTTCATATTTCATTTTCATCAATATATTTCTCTTGCTTAGAGGTAAAAGTCAGACACGCACTCTATTCTGGATGTGGATCGACAATGGAGGTAAGGTTTATCGCGATAGGCATCTCTTTCCGCCACTTTTCCTTACAGGACGAACGTCAAGCCTCCCGGCCGGCTGGTTCTCCGAAGTGTAACTAGATGGCGCCATCTAATCATACGCCGTCATAATCAACTTCATAGGTAAAATATACCTATATTCAATATATCTTTTATCACTGGACAGGTACATTAATAGAAAAGCTCTTATGCTAAAATCTGATTTTCAAATAGAGTGTATGAGCGTGTCTGTAAGTAAAAGATTTTTTTTAAAGCGCGATGGCTATATTGTTACCTATAATAATAATGAAAAATAGCTTATGTTCAATGGCCATTATTAGACACTATACAATGCCTTCCACCGATATGTGACTGCCCGGAAAAATATGAAAGTATCCGTAAAATTATCGAGAAAAAGCCCTACTAAAGTGGTTGATCTAACAGACAGCCTTTTTTACCGATTTTAACAAATTTTTTTTGGGAATTTCTCCCTTATTTTCATTTTTGACAGTATCTCCAATAAATGTCAACTAATATCGTTTGTTTTTACTATTGTATAGCTGTGAACATTGACCAGCAGTGCCTAAATAATTTAAACGTCATTTACATCCAATTACTACAAAAAAAGAATGCTTGTTTTTGGAGAACACAACGTTAACAATTTTTTTTGAAAATGTTCTCGTAGCATAACAAAAATATACGCCAATTATTGAAGCATGTCCTCAATTTTAAGCCAGTTAATTTAATTAATAGAACGTGGTGTGAGCACGCCCGGAGAGATATAATTTCCTCCCTTCCACCTCCTATTTTTGCCATGCAGCAATTCCAGAATGGGACAGCCAATACAATGCAGATTTCGGTTTCATGTCGTAAAACGTGTGGCATCGTCCCTGGAATTTATGATTTGATTGTCTACTGATTCACACTACCACTTAAAATCAGGTGGGCCGTGAACAGACTAGCACATTTAGACCCTATAAAAATACCTTAACGGAATCTTCCCTACTGGCTATTATTATAAGGTACTGCCTGTTAAATTAGTATAAGGGAAGACAAATTTGTTCAATTATTGAAATATTTTTAACATTTAATGGAGAATATCCAATTAGTGTTAAATGATAATATTGATAAGATCCATGTTCTTGTTAGTCACAAAAAATCTCAGAACTACTTAGCTAACAAACTAAAAAGACTTGTGACGAAGACGTGAGAAACTTGTATAGACTATTTCTTCGATTTTGTTTTAGCATTCAATATTGAGAGCATTAGTGAAAAAAATTACATCTTGATTTTTGTTCCATAAAACATTCCAGTTTATAACTAAATAAATATATGAGTAAAAATTCTGGTTCATTACGAACAGCTTCAGGTAAACGATAAGAGTGTATTACAAAACAGATGCGGTATCATAAGGTCGGCGTAGAGTTGTCACGTTTTTCACGGGGGCTGAGCGAAGATGGGTGCTCGGAGGATGCAGTAGTGCGGGGCTCCCCGCGCGCCTCACCCCGCGCTGACGTAACGCTGCCGAGTCCACCGCCCGCCCTAGTGTGTGCCGCGCCGCGCTCCGACCGGGCTAACACGCACGCCGCGCCCTGCACACTAACCGTGCAAATAATTTCACGTTTCTAAAATTTCTTCTCTGTTCCTGAGCTTAATAAGTGAATAAGGTGCATGACGACCCAACACATCCGATTATGTTCTGTGACAAACAGATTTCCTGATTCATATGACCGCTTGGTAATAGACACCGCCCTTAGAGGCCAGATGCAACGGTGTCATTCGCTAGTCAATTCACGAGTTCTTCAGTTTGTCTTATTATCTTGTTGCTCCTGTGTATCAATTATTACTTATTCATTGGCTTTTCAATGAAAATCCCGAAACAGCAAATAGAATAATATATTAATTCGTAGTAGATATGTCTATTTACAGGAAGTTAGGTAATCACATGGGCATTATACCGTATTTTTCTAAAATTTAAATTCACAGAGAGTAGAGTGTAGATGATATTATGAACAATGAACGTTTTTCTTTTTACTGTAAAGTAATTAGGTTTGACAAAAATAATAATTAGAAAAATGTTTTACATTCATTAATTCCTTGCGGTTGTGTTTTTAGATAAATTGTGACAAAACAGACAAAAAAATCAGCTCCAAACATTAATTAAAATTGGATTGTAATTGACGTTATTACTAAACGGTAAGTTAGATATGAATGATCATGAACAACGTAGTGTGAACATTTAAAGCTTTTAGTGATTAGAAGCATCATTATTATTCCATCAAATATCTTGGAGCTTCTCAGACAAGGTCTTTTGGCGGCCGATATCGAAATTCTCATCATCCATTCGCATCGTAGTATAAAGTACAGTTATTTGAAGTGGTCCTAAAGTTAGAATTACGTCTTTCCAGTATTGATTATCATGCAAAAATACATTCACATTCTAGTTTTAATGTTAACAGAAAATTATTGTTACGTTGATATTTAAAATAATTTCGTCCGCTATTCGTTTCGCGTTTTAGCCATACGATCAGCATATAAATGCACCGGTCTAAAATTGGAGCTGGAGCTGATGCTAGAGATTTACCCTGAAAGCGTAATCAAAAATTAGCTGTAATAAACAACATAAAAAATCGTAGAATTCCGATTGGTTCACCAAACTTTTGGTTTATTTTGCGACTGAACATCTATGCGGCCTGAATTTCTATAATAATTAAGGTAAAAAGTCAAAAATGAAAGTAAAACCGTACGCTTAAAGTTCACACAATAACGACGATAATGTTTCGATAAGGCGTGCAGAGGAACTGTTCATTTTGTATCAGGATAAGGCTTTACAAGACACAGACACACTATGTGGCAGATTATGGGCTAAAGATTCTTTTAAACTGAATTTTTTATTCAATCTTTTGAATGTTCGTTACAAAAAACTCCTTAAGAAATAAATAAAGATAATATTGTAGAGGATAAATTCCTAGTCAATTGGAAAACAATAATAGGTTGTTTTTATCTTTGGCCAAAATATTAAGGAAGCAAAAAAATGTTATTTTCGTTTTTAAAAATCATCAATTGGTTAGTTATGGAAAAATCAGTGTCTTACTTTAAGCGAATCGTTACGATTTATTAATTTACCAATTAGCAGATGAAAGTCGCGCCATTCAAAACCTGCGTTGTGTATTTCATGTTTCAGCCTTTTAGGGTTCGAGTACTCAAAAGAACCCTTATAGTAGTACTTTGTTGTCCGTTTTTTATTTTTCTAGGAAGCAAGGATTACTAGTTGTCTCTGAGACCTTTCCAGTTTCACTAGAACATGTGGGCGAGCATGGGTTCAGCCAGGAGAGTTGTCCGTCTCAGTGTTTGCCCGACACATTAGATCGTAATCCAAATACTAAGTTCAACGGCGGAAGGAAGTGTTGTTAAAAGTCTCAAGTTAACAGTCAAGGCAATCAAAAGATATAGCTATGTTTTGTGGCTCATCAAGCCCTAAAGCACCAGATGACAAAGAATTATCAATTATTGCAAGGGGCCAGGTCTTGTAGCAGAAGTAAAGGGAAACATCTGAAAATTGGATTAATTTTATACGTATAACATTTAAAAAACTCACTTTTAACGTTTAAAGACATTTTTGCAGTTTAGTTACGTACAGAAAAATATTAGGTCCTTTACCTTGCCGTTTGATATACATAAGAGTATTTTTATGAATATTTTTTATTTCTTTCAATCAAATTATTAACATATGGTATCGATGCATTTCTACCAGCGTCGTGGTGGTTTTTAACCTTCTTCATGAATTAAAGTGTACGGGAAGCCTTCTCAAGCTCTTCAAAATCTGTTTGTACATCTTCTCGGGTATTGAATTATTTCCCTGCTAAGAAGTTGTCCAAACCTCGGACACCGTACAGAGTCTGTCGGCGCAGGTTATGGTGGGTGCGGTGTATGACGCAAAATTTCTAACTCTAGCTCTTGTGGCTTAGAGATCGTTTGTTGAGCCGTGGGTTGTCGAACGTTGTCGTCTAGGTGCAGCGGAGGTGAGCGATGAACTTAAGCTGGCCAGAGATTTGCCAACTTCTCCATCATTGAATCTAGTACTTCAGAGTACAAATTTGCAATAATACTGATGCCTTTTATTAAGAAGCTCTGGACTATACCGGCACTAGATCACCAAATAGTGACCATGTCTTTCACGTGTTAAGTTTTCGTTTCGAGCTTCGACCTGATGCTGAACTGGCGTCTTACCAACATGATGAGCAACGCCATCTGTCGTTGAATAGCAGAAACGAATATTCAAAAAACTAGTCAAATCGAGAACTCTCGACAAGTACAACGCCACCTATTATCAAATAGCGGAAACACAAATCGAAACTACTCGACCTGTCAGGAACGTTCTCGATAACTCTACGGATGTCATATCGACTGTAAAGGCGTTGCAGAGATGACACGAATATTAATCGGATCTACTCGAAGCGAAATAGCGAACGGATCACCTATTCGCACCGGAAGCGAAGCGGAAGAAGTGCATTACGAATTGTAAAGTATTCAGTGAGTGGTCTAAATGTTAAATAGAGTTTTAATCTGTACTTCGGTAGAATTTTTATTAA